CGCCAGGGGGCGCGCGGGGGCTGCTGGGGCGGCCGCGAGGCCGGTTGGGGGGGGCGGGGAGAGCGGCCTTGTTGTGGCCTCAGCGCCGGCCTGGTCGGGAGGCCCCGGTTTCATTAACTTTATTTGTGAAATAAACGGGACGGGGCCGCGGAGCCGGGAAGCGGGAAGGGCCCCGGGTGCGTGAGAGGCCCCCCCGCCTCAACGGGAGAGCGGGGGGGGCAGCCGCCCCTTGCGGCAGCACTGCCCCCCCCCGTCCAATCATCCTTAATACCCTTATTTTTGCTTCCCCCCATATCCCGTGGCACAATATTGCACAGTTTTGCCATGCTGCTTCTTTAAGGTGATGCAGTTTAATATAATCAAGGTCAATTTGGAGCCCTATACATGGAGACAAAGATTATCCCGTGCAAAGAGAGTGTTTTGGGTGATTTAATAACTAACCCTGCTGCCCCACCAGCAAAACAGGGTGATGTTGCAGCCTTTTATTCATTGTCCACTTGTGGCTTTTTCTGTATGACTTCAATACATCCGCGAAGGCTAATTTTATGCCTTTATAAATAAACCCAACCTTTAGCAGCCTTTGACGATGCGGTGGAAGAACGTGTGATCAACGAAGAGTATAAAATATGGAAGAAGAATACGCCTTTCTTATACGATCTGGTAATGACCCATGCGCTGGAATGGCCCAGCTTGACTGCCCAGTGGCTTCCCGACGTGACAAGGTAAATCGGTGTCTGTTTTGTAAAGAGGAAGGTGTCATTTATCACTGAGAACACATTTTCATACGTTTCATTTTGCAGCCTTTTTGCAGCTTCCCTTAAGAAAGCAAAAAACCCTCTCCACAAAAAAATGGAGATATAATTTCAATACCAAAGCGCTGTTGGCAACTTGTCTTGTATAGTGTGGCACCATGTGGTGCTAAGCTTCCAGACCAATGTTTTTGCAGATTATGTTCATGTACCTCACAATTTTATTCCGTTGAATTGCAAATATCTCTTAAGAGAAGGCAAGAGAGCGGCGCTGTGTTTATTTTATTTAGACACATAGCCTGTGTTATGAGAGTTTTAAGATGAGGTTTATCTGGAGTTAAATGTTTTAATCTGCGCAGTGTATGTGTAAAATCCTCTTGTTTCTTATGTATTTCTCTTCCCCTGCAGACCTGAGGGCAAAGATTTCAGTATTCATCGCTTGGTCCTGGGGACCCATACCTCAGATGAGCAAAATCACCTTGTGATAGCTAGTGTGCAGCTGCCCAACGATGATGCACAGTTTGATGCTTCGCACTATGATAGTGAGAAAGGAGGTAAGGAACCAGAGATGTGAATCAAGTGGAGTTTTAGCTGCCCTTTCCTCCCCGTTTCAAGAGAATATTGGTCTCTCCTTAGTTTTCAGGCAATGAAATACAGATGCTGCACCTAAAATAATCAGTTTGTTTCTAAGTTGTACATTTAACTGACAAATGCAGTCTATAATATACATATGTAATGTTTTAGAAGTAGAACTTTGAAGAAATGAGTTAGTAGGTTTGCTGCAAAAGTATATGCCTCTAACTGGCTCTGAAGTTAGCTGAAATCTTGGTATTTTGATGCTACAACTATGGGTATTGAAAATAACATGCCATTTGAAAACTAGTTTATTCTAGTTAGCATGTTATGTTCTGGTTTGTTTTTTTTAATATGTGTGTGACTGTTTTGTCAAAATATGGGCTTAGTTGTACCCAGTAATTGAGTGTGGATCTCTAGATCTTGGTCTGAAAGTGTCGTATTATTTACTACTGTTGAATTCTCCTTTCAGAATTTGGAGGCTTTGGGTCAGTTAGTGGAAAAATTGAAATTGAAATCAAGATAAATCACGAGGGAGAAGTTAACAGAGCACGTTACATGCCGCAAAACCCATGTATAATTGCCACCAAGACACCATCCAGTGATGTTCTTGTCTTTGATTACACCAAGCACCCTTCTAAACCAGGTATCTACATCTTTGTTGTGTCTGTGCTTCAGAACTCCTGTGAAAGTCACTACCAGCCATTCCTTAAGAAAAGGTGATGGTTGTGCAGAAGACACTGGGAAATTATGGGGTGCACCTCATCTGTAATGTGAAAGGCAAGTGGGTATTGAGTATAAAATAGTATTTTAAGTAAAGCGTATACATATAGGACTCCAATATGTGTCAGTGGAAAAATATATCTATTTTGCCTCTTTGTTGCACATCTTGCCATGTACTTGGAGGGGTGGAAGGTACTTGCTGGCCAGTTGGCAGTTGATTTGCTGTGTAGCTGAGCTGCGTTCCTGATCTGCAAGGGGAGTCATAGGAATTTACTGATTAATTGGGCAAGATCGTATAGAATGACTAGTTTTACTGATTGTGGGAGGATCTAACTCCTGAGTGCAGTTGGAGATGAATCCAGCAGGTCATTTAGGAAGAATTTTTTGAGGAGGATCTGGGTTACCCTGTTCAGCTGGACCAGGTGTGTCAAACCAAGCACACGGGTGCTTTGGCCCCTCAGCAAGTAGTACAGTGTGATATGGAGTTAGAACGGACCATTGCTAGATCATCCAGCTACAGAAAACAGCAACCTGGAAAAACTTGCAATGTGTTCTTATTAGGTCAAAAAGAAAATCATCTCTGTGTTGCCTCAGTACATTCTGTTTCAATGAGGTAACTCTTTGCTTGGGGAAAATGATCAGGAGGAGAGAGAGGGATGCTGCTGGAAATGTCAAAGTTCGCTAAAGCACAGCAAGACTCGTGTCAAACGTTTAGGCACCTGAGTTCTTAGGCTGCATCTTTACAGATCCTTCTGGTGAGTGTAACCCTGACCTGCGTCTTCGTGGACATCAGAAGGAAGGTTATGGGCTGTCTTGGAACCCTAACCTGAGCGGGCATTTGCTCAGTGCCTCTGATGATCATGTGAGTACTTCAAATAGAGCTCTGACGAAATCTGCGCTTTGTTTGGCAAAAGTTCCTGCTTTTGGAGGTGTGGGGGGGAGGGGGAATAGAGTTGCTGCCTAAAGGTGCAGTCCTCCTATTGATTAAATTGATTTATTTATTTTAAGACCATCTGCTTGTGGGATATTAGTGCTGTTCCAAAAGAAGGCAAAGTGGTGGATGCAAAGACCATCTTCACAGGGCATACAGCAGTAGTAGAAGATGTATCCTGGCACCTGCTCCACGAATCTCTTTTTGGATCTGTTGCTGATGATCAGAAGCTCATGATGTAAGTAGGGTAATGTCTTAAAAAACAGAATTGCCATCCCTTTCCTTACTCATCTATACCCTACCTCACTAAAATGGAGTATAAACCTTTGTTTCGATTCTGTATTTTCTTTTTACAGTTGGGATACTCGGTCAAATAACACCTCCAAGCCTAGTCATTCAGTGGATGCTCACACTGCTGAGGTCAACTGCCTCTCTTTTAATCCCTACAGTGAATTTATCCTGGCTACAGGATCAGCTGATAAGGTTTGTCTTACCTAAAAGTGCTTGGAGCACTTTTAGGTTTAGTTTCTGATGCATGAATGTGGGGATATATGTTGATTACTTCAGGAAAAAAGAAAGACTTGTTGTTCTTTGCCTTTTGACCAGACCGTTGCTCTATGGGATTTGAGGAACCTAAAGCTGAAGCTGCACTCCTTTGAATCGCACAAAGATGAAATATTTCAGGTACAGCCAAATGTCCTTGTCTTTTATGACTTAGCTCATCTTAACTATCTTGAAAAAATGAAGAACACTTGTTTTCCACTTATATTTATATTGAAATATATTTGCATTTAAAAACTCACATGTTTTCTCTCATCTACTCAGGATTTTGTTAGCTTGCTCGTGTGGAGCTGTGTGGGGCAGAGCTCTGCTACAGATAGGGGTGTCCAGCAAGCCAAGCAGAGGGTGAAACAAGGAAAGGATAGAAAGCTTTGTCCGCAACGTAGGAGTGAAATGCTATCAGTGCAGAGCAAATCTAAATTATTCATGGCAGCAGATTGAAGCAGGGAGGCACAATGAAGCAGCTGCAGCTTCTCAGCCTGGTCCGATACGAAGGCTTTGCCTGGTGACCAGTTAAGGGGATTGCCAGGCCATCTAGTGACAATGAGTGATTGCAAAATTTACTGGTATAAATATAGAACATTAACATCACTGGTAGCATGTGCTTTGCAGAAACAATATTTCCATCTTCAACTCATACATGCCTCAGAAGAAAAATATGTAGAGTTTTTTTTGATACAAGGATTGTTACTTGACGACTGTAGTTACTTCTAAATAAAATTAGACTTGGAATCTTGAAATGCCAGGTTTGTGTGCAGAACTCTGTGCTCTTTCCTAATCTTGTTATCCTATTAAGTGCTATGTTTTGGAAAGATTTATCTCCAGCAGTGGTGGTTAATGTGAGCTTTTGGGGCTGTTCAGCTTAGTTACAGTCCTTCTTTGTTTTGTTTTCCTTTATAAACTATTCCTCCTATTTAAGGTACACGTTTGTTTGTGTGCTCTGTATTAAGGTGAGGAGCAGCTAATATAATTGGGACTTCTTTACACTTTGCAACATGTAGTCTTTGTTAAGAGTATAGGCTAAGGTACCATTGGAACTTGAATGCCTCTTCAGTGTATGAATGTTCACAAACACACTTCCTATGTGAGAATATTGAGTTGATGTTAATTTGAATTTTCGTGGAGTTTTCCTGCTGTAAAATAATTTGAAGTCTGTCGTGACCATTTGCCATGCTGTATCTTCTTAAAACTAACTTCCTTTCTAAACATATTTTTGTCTGTAGGTTCAGTGGTCTCCCCATAATGAAACCATTCTGGCCTCCAGTGGCACTGACCGGAGGCTAAATGTTTGGGACTTGAGGTGAGTCTCAAATTAGTCACGTTGTTCTGACAGAGTATTACTCTTGAATTGTATATGACACCTGAGGGGAGGAAGAAAAAGCAAAAACTAATTTTCCCTTTGTTTTTATTACAGTAAAATTGGAGAAGAGCAGTCCCCTGAGGATGCTGAGGATGGCCCTCCAGAGCTGTTGGTAAGCCTTTGGGTCTCATTAAACCCTTCATCTCTGCCATGAAGATTTAATTGAATGATCTGAAAACATTCCCTTCTTATTTCTCCAATCCAGTTTATTCATGGTGGTCATACTGCAAAGATATCTGATTTCTCCTGGAATCCGAATGAACCCTGGGTAATTTGTTCTGTATCAGAAGACAATATCATGCAAGTCTGGCAAATGGTAAGTCATTTGGGAAAGTGCGGGAAGTGGTAGATAAGAGCTGCTGTTTAACTGCCTGGATTTCAGCATTCCTGGGTTTATTTACAGCTCTCAGAATGACTTGCTTTGTAGCACTAGCTGAACCTCAAAGGGATTGTGAAATCCATTTTAGGTTTGACAGAAACAAGGACTTAAAAATACTGAAAAGCTGCTTCATGTTTCTCATGATTTTTTTTTTTAAAAAAAAAAAAGGTAGAAGTCTTTTTATTTTATTTTCCCTTTCCTGTAAGGATGAAAATACAGTGTGTGAGAGCCAAAGGTGAAACTGAAGGTGCTGTTAATTATTATCTTAAAGAATTAAATCTCTGTTGATAATATAAATGCCCTCCTGTAGATGGAAAGAGGTGGGAATAAGTAGAAAAATATGCTAACCTCAAATTAACACTATTTACAATTTTAGAAAATAATCTTATGTAACTTGAATGACCTCTGACAAGGTCATTCTTCTAATTTTTGTTTGTTTATGAATTGGCTCACAGCAGCCCTGTTCTTAATACAGTCTCTGTCCTTAACGCTGCTCTATATAGTTCTTTTGGCGGATGCTGTTGCAAAGTAGAGCATATATTACATGTATGCAAAATACTCTTTTAACGTAACGCGGTGATTTCTAGATTAAGAAGGCAGATACCTAAAAGCTACATTAACTTGATGAATACTTCTGAAATGTTTTGAAAATATGATTTTTATGAAAAAAAAGGTTATTTGTGTTACTACTTCAATGTTCAGTGGCCTTGAGGGATCATAGATATGAGATACTTATCTGAAGCTTGAAACAACAACTTTTCAAAATGTTCCAGCAGTTACAATCTTTTTATGTGCTTTTTTACATGCTCTTTCAGCTTTTCCATTTATATTGCAGGCTGAGAACATATATAATGATGAAGACCCCGAAGGAAGCGTGGATCCAGAAGGTCAAGGATCCTAGATGATGACCTTTTCCTGTTTTTAGTCTTTTCCCTTTCTTCCCTCTCAACCCTCCAATTGACTTAACACTGGTTTTGAGACACACGTAGACTTTGTGTTCAGCCATCCTTATGTAGATACCATCAACGATGCTTTTTAGCCCAGACAGCGAGTACTCCTTAAGATGAGGGTTTAACCTGACTCAACTGGTACTGCGCTGTAGCTTCTTGTTTGAGTTTCTTACAGCAACCTCTTGTGTATAGAGCTGGCTGTCCCATTTAGCTGCCTTTGTTACACAGAGCAAACTTGATTTTTTTTTTTCTAAAAGTCTATCCTTTTTCCGTCTTTGGCTTGCTACAGCTATGGGTTTTTGCCTAATTTAAATAAAAGTTAAATTGCTAGAGCTGCCAGAATATGCTTGAGTGAATGCCACCCCAATGATAAAGGTGTTAATTCCCTAGCAGTTCAGAAGTGGAGCATGTGAGAGGCCTCGTCCTCTTCAGCAAGACTTGTCTTGGGGTTCCTGTAGTTAGGCCACACCTGTGTGGGTATTTCTGCTTTTGCAGATACAAAACAGACCTGCAGATTCTGACTTCAACTAGTATTACATTTCTTTCTGTATTTTTTTTTTTTTTTTTTTTTTTTTTTTTTTTTTGCTTCTCCACTTGTAATTTTGGGGTTTTCATTGTTTCCTTCCTTCTTCCCCTCCCCTTTTCTCCCATCTGCTGGGCACCAGCGGTTTGGATACCTTAGTACCTTAGCAATACCTGCCGACCTCTGTTCGTCTGCCATGTATCTTGCTCTATTGTGTGTTTCTTGAGCTGTGTTTTCACATATATTTCTTTCCTTTCTGTGAAATGGTTTTTTAAAACTTGGGGCCACCAAGTTGTAAAGGTGTATGTTTTTACCGACCGATGTCCCGCAGATGGCACGCCCCGTGATCTAAAACAGCATTGGTAGCTGGTATCCATAAAAGAACCTCCATGTGGATGAACTACTTTTTTAGGAGTTAGTCCTTGACCACTCGTTCCTGCACATCTTCCACTGTCCTGTTCCACCAGCAACCTGTTGCTCTCCATGCTCTCCATGACTAATTGCGTGTAAGTGCTTCAGATGGAATAAATTTTTCTACATAAACGCTGTGTAGCTTTGCTTTGTGCAGATGTTTTTCTTCTGCATGAACTCCTTTCTGAGGGCTGAGCCGTACCTCTTAAGAAAGTGCTGAACTGAGTGTGTAGAGGTTTCATGCCCATAAAAGACAGTACCGACTTCTAGGAGGACTCAAGGTTTAAGCAGGAAATTCTGCAGTGGAAAAAATGGACAAAGGACTCTCTCTGTATGGGAGCAGTGAGATGCTAGGTGCTGGTGTGGATGTGCCTGATGTTTCCCCTGCCCCCTCATCGGGTTGTTTCCTATTTCAATGATCTTAATGCAAATAAATCCCCTCTGTATCTCTCCCTGCTCCATCAGTTTCCCTTTCCAACTTGTAGGGAGCTGTAACTGCATCTTCCAAGGGTAAGCTTCAGACAGTGGGAGCTGTGATGACTCTGACATCTGTATGTTCATGAAAATGTTTTTTGCACCACGGACCTGCTCTTCAAGGCCACCACCTCTTGTTTCTGCTGCTTGCTTTGTGAAAAGAGTACCCAATATCTCCAAGCAGGCAAGAAGGGAGAACACTTTACTGTCTGAATTTCCCATCTGCCTGTAACCCTTAGCACTGAACTTTCTTTTAATTATTCTAATAATCTGTAACATGGATAATTGGATACCTTACAGGCACCTTGGCTAGATCATAGGAGCTTGTTCTTCTCTGTGAGGCAGCGGTTTGAGAAAGAAAAGGATTCTTCAACTCTAGCCTTTATTTTCAGTGTGAGACTTTATAGAAAGTGGAAACCATTTACCCACAGCGCTCAGTGTGTGGCCCACGTTGAACATGTCACGATACAGCAGAGACCCACTGAACTACAAAAGAAAATTCCCCTTAAAAGGATGAAGCTTCTCTTGCATGTAAACTTTAAAAATCACCCCCTGCACCTGGCTTGCAGCACGGTGCTTTCTGCACAGGCTTCTACACTCATCTAGGAAACAAGACAAGATACATTTTCCCATCACAGCAAAACATCCATCCACGATTCTTATATATATATATATATATCTAGCTTCAGTGCAAGTCTCTTTTTCCCTGCTCCTCTGTGGAAAAGCAGCTTTCTTCCATCAACAGCAGCACCCCACGAAATCCAAACACGTATTTGTCAAGTAGTCCCGCTTTCTGGCAGCTGCTTGGCAAAAGGTGGGTAGGAAGCAAGGGGGAAACGGCCCCTGCAGCTGCCCCTCTCCTTGGCTTTTGGCAAAAACGGGAAGAGCCGTCATTCCTCGTACTCCTCTGCTTTCCCTTCTGATTTGCAGAGGTGGCCGTAGGTTTCTAAGCAGCCCCTGGAGGGATAGAAAGGGCATTTAGGCTGCTGAATGTGACCTCGAGGAAGCAGGGGATGGGGACGTGAGCTGTATCCCAGAAATGCTGTTCCTTCTCCCAGGCTGGGAGTCATAGGGGAAGCAGCTTGCTACGTGCATGGTCAGGAGCGTGCGGATAGCCGGGCTTTCCAGGGATAAACGCGAAGATGCGTTCCCAGTTTTCTAGAGCTCATCTGTGGTGCAAACTGCGGGAGAAGGCAGCTCGGGGCCGTGCTTAACTCAGATTTCCCCGATCAGATGTGGAAACATAATGAGGTGAGTTCACATTTCACGAGCCTAACGCGCTATCGCTTCCACTGAGGGCAATTCATAAATTCCCAGGGGTTACGAGGCGGCCGCCGCTGCACCCAGGCTTAAATGTTGGCCTCAGCAACCTGTGATTTAGAAGGAGCCCAAATAGCAAAGACAGGGTTGCTGGTATATCCCTGCTCGTGGCAGGAATATCCTCCCCTGGCACGTTTGCATAAGCCACTTTGAAGGGAGAAATGAGGGAAAAGGATACTAGAGCAACAGTGAAACTACAGAAAAGGGTCAAGGGTGTGTAATGACTGCGGCTGTAGCAGTAAGAACACAACGTTTGGTAAGCAAAAGAGCCCACAAAGTTGTCACCATTTTCTGGAGCTTTCTAATATCCCATATAATAAAGAATTCCAAGTAAAGCCAGCACTTGGATTCCTGAATACAAGGTAACTCTTTCTTGGTAAAGAAAATCTGCAGCAATGTTTTCTGAACTTAAAACTCAGGTCCCTTCCAGGTATTGATAAGGGAACAGCTCATCTTTAAGTTGCTGTTCCCTGCAAAACAATCCCTGCTTGTCATTTGCACAGGAATTTCCATCAAATCACTCTTTGCTGGAGGGAGAAAGACTCCGGAATTGCCTGGGAGCCCGAGGTTTATCTCAGGGCTATATAAGCCCCGCCTGGGTGTGAGGCTCCTTCCAAAGCCTTCTCCACGAGCCCTTCCTGACCGTCCCGCTCCGCAGCTTTGCAAAGAGAAGAGGAGGCAACTGACTTGTAGATGGAGAGCTCCTGGTGGAGGCTGCTCCGCAGCTCCTGCAGCTCCTGGTTCTTGCGCTGCTGCAGCTGCACGCCGTTCCTGAGCTCCTTCAGCCGCTCCTCCAGCTCCTCCACTTGCTCCTGGGGTTAAGGACACGAGGCTGAGTTACACAGGCCTGGCTCCTCCCGGGGCTGCATGGGGAAATACTGCCATGGTTTGAAAAAAACCTGCACAAAAAGCATTGCTTTGCTGGCAGAACAGAGCTTGGGCTGCGCTGTAGCAGCCCGGCTCCTTCGGGAAGCTGCCAGGCCGGGGAGAGAGCAGTTACGGAGCGAGAAGCTGGCAGCGTCGAGGGGCTGCGGATTAACGGTGGGGCCCCTTTGCCAAATGCTCCCTTGGAGGGATTGAATTGCTCGTCCCCTCGGCGGGAGATGGGGCGGGGGGATGTGGGGGAACGTGCGGCGCTGCCGCCGCATTCGCTTATGGATAACGGGGGAGAGGCTGCCTGCACCCCAGCAGCGGGAAGGGCAGGAGGCCGGGCTGGACTTTGCTGGGAGCAACTTCCCTGCACAAGGATTGGATTTTATAGGAGAAGTCCCGGGCTCAGCGGCCGGGAGAGCGGCCCAGGCGTTGCTAAAGCCAGAGTTTCCTCCAGACCGGAAAGCTGAACCAGGCTTGGACCCGGCTGGGAGAGCTCCTCGCTCACGTTTGCATTCGTCTTTTCACATCTAGCCTCCAATTCGAGCAAAAACTGGCAAGTCGCAGTGCTCTCCGCTCACCGCACTTTCTCCTTAGGGCCTCCCCTAGAGCTCCAAGCTAAATCCCGCATGGAAAGTGCACTCTGAGTATCTGTGTCCTTGCTCCCCAGCACTGCTCAGCACAGCCGGGATCTCACTGCGGGCTGGGAATTTCCCTTCTCTGCCTTTTCTTTTCCCCAAAGCAAAGAGAAGAACCCAAGGAGCCCATTTTCCTTCCCCGAAATCAATGAGCTGAATTCGAGGAACCCGTTTTCCTCCCCCAAAGCAATGAGAAGAACCCAAGGAGCCCCTTTTCCTCTCCCAAAGCAATAAGGAGCCCCTATTCCCGACACTGGCTGGCTGAACCCTTGCCGCTTCCCCACTGCATCCCTCCAACCCCTGCCCGCCAGGCTGCAGGGATGCCGGGGCCCACAGGCAATATATGACCTTATTGCCCTGCTTCCCGCCCCATCCCTCCGCAATACCCTCCGGAGCACGAGCGGAGCGCGGAGCAGGCACATACCCGGTACTGCCGGACCTCCTCATCCCGCTTGCGCTTGGCCAGGGCCATCTGCTCCTCGAGGCTGCCGTTGCAGCGGCGCAGGCGGGCGGCCTCGGCCTGCAGCGGCCGCAGGGCGTCGCGCAGGGCGTGCAGCTCGGCGTGCAGCGGGCGCAGCGCCGCCGCGCCGGCCTCGCGCCGCTGCAGCAGCCGCAGCAGCTGCGGCTCGTAGCGCTCCTCCAGCCCGCGGCGGCTCCGCGCCACCAGGCTCGCCAGGGCGGCCGAGAGCCGCCGGCTCTCCTGCAGGAAGGGCACGTCCCGGGAATCCGGCGGCGCCTCCAGCCGCTGCCTGGCCGCCTCGGCCTCCTTCCCGCAGCATTCCCGCAGCCGCGCCAGCTCCTCGGAGAGCTGCCCGGCGCGTGCCTCCAGCTCGCCGCGCGCCGCTGCCGCCTGGTCCAGCTCCTGCCGCTGCCTCTGCAGCCGGTACTCGCAGGCCACGCACTCCCTCGTCACCTTGAAGAGCTGCCGCTTCACCTGCCCCATCTCGTCCCGCAGGTTGTCCCGCTCCAGCTCCGCCTTGGCCAGCAGCCGGTGCGCGGCCAGGATCTCCTCGTGCGCCCGGCGGATCTCCTGCAGCGCCGGCTCGCGCAGCCGCGACAGCTCCCGGATCAGCTCGTCCCGCTCCTGCTCCAGCCGCGCCACGGCCTCGATGCACTCCTGGAAGCGGTCGCCCAGCTCCTCCAGGGACAGGCTCGGCTGTCCCGAGCCCTCGGCGCCCTCCGGCGCCTCCTCGGCACCCATTTCCAGCAGGGCCCCTGCTCCATCTGCAGCCACTTTCCAGGGGATCCCTGCTGCGTCTGCGGCCACTTCCCATGGGATGTCTGCCTCGTCTGCATCTACATCCAGCAGGATCCCTTCTCCATCTGCATCCACTGCCCATGGGATCCCTTCTCCTTCTGCATCCACTTCCCATGGGATTGCTTCTCCATATGCATCCACTTCCCACAGGATCCCTTCGCCATGTGCATCTGTCTCCCATGGGATCTCCGTTGCATCTTCATCCATCTCCAGCGGGCTCCCTGCCCCATCCGCAGCCCCCTCCAGCGGGCTCCCCGGCACGGCGACCTCCAAGGACGGCTCTGCCGGAGGCTCCTGCAGCACCTGCCGGGCGCCTGGGCTGCCCGTGGCCTCCAGAGCAGCCGCCGCGGCCACTGCCGGGCCCGAGGGTCCGTGCGAGACACCCGACTCTGGAGAGGAGCCCGTAGCCGCCGGCACCGGGGAGGCTCCCGGCTCCGCAGCCGCGGACGGCTCTGCCGGTGGCTCTGGCGCTGCCATCAGCTCCCTGCAAACAAGAGGCCATATGAGACAGAGTGATGATTGCAACAGGTCTCAGCCCACCCCCATGCCACCAGCTGCAGCACTGAGTCCCAAAGGAAGCCGTGGACCCCGAGCGCTTTGGCAGCGGAGGGCAAGCGCGGGGCCTCCTTCCAGCGTCGCCGGCAGCTCTCCAGGCGTTGGGAAGGAGCCCGCGCTCTGCGCCAGCTCCGGCTCATCCCTGCAGTGCCACCGAGCCGCCCGCGTACCCCAGCCCCTACCTGCCCCAGGCCCCTGGCAGCTTCGCGGCCGAGCGGTGCCGGGGGCTCCGCGGCGGTGCCGGTGCCGGTGCCGGTGCCAGCGGCGCGACGGTGCCCGCGGCCCCGCGGCGCTGCGGGCTGAGCTCACGCCTCGTCATCGCCGGAGGAATGAGCGCAGCCTGGCAGCACTGCGGCTTCAAGGAAAGCGCCGATTTTCACCGATACTTTCTCTCCTAATAAGGTAGTTTTCTGCGGCGCTGACACATCAGCGCCCCGGACCGTCCGTTGGCCGGGCGGGACGTGCGGGAAAAGGTGGGGAGAGGGATCCGCTTGCGCGGCCCCAGCGCTTATTTCCAAACTTCTCCATGGCGGTGACAGCCCCAGGGGGGTTGTCCCCCCCTTCCCACCATCCTCGTTGACCGGGACCCCCCCCAAGCGGTGCTGGCCGCTGCCCCCAGGCTGCTCCTACCTCGGTGTGCGGGAGCCCGGTGGGTGCCACCCGCCGCGCCGCGGGGCTGGCCCATGGTGTGCACGCGATATTAATAACGGCGGCTGGGAACGGCCCCCCCGGGCGAGCAGCCGCAGCCGGGCGGCCGCCCGCCCCGAGCAGGAGGAGGAGGAGGGCGGGGAAGGCCGCGCGCGCCCGGCACAGGCTGCCGCCCCGCCGCGCATCCCCCTGCGCGCTCCGTGCCCGGGGGAGGTTTCCCTTTGCGCAGCCTCCAGCCCGCCCCTTCCCTCCGGACACGGATCCCGGCTCCGCACAGAGCCCGAGGCTGCGGGAAGCTGGGACCCCCCCATGCCCCGGAGCACGTGTGGGCTCTGCCGATGGGCACCACGGGCAAAGGCTGCGGGACGGCCGCGAGGCCGCATCCCGCTGCGGAGACCCCGCGACGCGCCCGGCCCGCAGTGCCGCGGGGAGCCCGGCGCGGCCGCCCCACCTGCGCCCGCCGGCGCCCAGGAAGTCGCCGCTCAGGAAGTCGCCCGCTTACGTGCCCCAAAACGGGCTTGTGACACCACGTCCGCCCATGCCCGCCCGCGGGCAGCCCGCACGGGTCCTTCCCTTTTCTCCTATCCCAACCCCTTCCCCTTTCCCCTATCCCAACCCTGTTGCATTTTCTACCTCCCGTGGCCCCGCTCTCCTTCAGCTCCTCTCTCCCTCTTCCCCACCCAGCGCCTCCATCCAGCCCCTTGACTCAGCAAGGGAGGAATGCTCTTAATTCGGCCGCGTTGCGCCTATAAATATAAATATAAATCCCTATGCGCGAGTGCCAAGGGGCCGAAGTGGAGGGTGACGAGGGCTGGGTGCCACCAGCTCCAGCGCATCCCGCCCACCAGGCCCAGCTGTTGCCCTCGGTCAGCGGATGATCCCGGCGCTTTGGGGCACGTGGCCAGGACGTGCCGGGCTCGGTGTCCGCTGGGCTCCGGTGCTGCTCCTGCAGTGCGGCGCCCTGGAAAACAGCAGCTCCGGGTGCTTATCGGCGGCGCTGCTGGAGGGGGAAAGCAAAAGGCCGGGGCTGTTTGAGCAACACGAAGGGTTTGGGCTGTGCAAAACAAAAGGAAAAATCCCAGCATCTCCGATCGCTGGACTCGGAGAGCTGCTAAAAATAACCGCTCAGCGGAGAGCGGAACGTGCCCGGGGGCACCTGCTGCCCCCGCGCGCTCGGCCAGCGCCGCCGCTGCCGTCCCCTGGCTGCATCCTCCCCATGCACCCCCTGTGCGGAGCCGGGGTGTCGGCCGGTTCGGCCGCACCTTGGGCTCACCGGTGCCAAGGCTGGCAGAGGAGGAGGCCGCCTCCCGCAGGGAGGCTGCAGCGGGACGCAGGGACCTTGGCGGCGCCGGCGGCTCCCACTTATCTGCGGGCGGGGAGGCCCGGGCCGCGCGGCGGCAAAGGGGCTGCGGAGGCAGCGCGCTCGGCGCGGAGCCCAGATAAGGGGGTTAAGCAGCTGCGTTGCTCCTGCGGGCCCCGGCGCTCCTGCAGCTCCGTGTGCAAGGTGTGCGCAAGTGTGCACCAATGGGCGTGCGCGTGCACGCATGCCCATGCACGTGCATGCATGGCTGTGTGCATGGGAGTGCATTCTTGGTCATGGGTGCATGCATGGCTGCATGCATGTGCGCGTGTGTACATGCCTGAATGCTTTTGCGTGCATGGGTGCGTGTGCATGGGTGCACATTATCGAGTCTGCCTGCATGCATGAATGCATGCATGTGTGTGCATGGGCGTGTATGTGCATGTGTGGTTGTGTGCATGCTCAGGTGCGTGTGCACTCTTGGGTATGTGTGCATGCATCGGTGCATGCATGTGCGTGCATGGGCGTGCATGTGTGTGCATGTACAAGCATGCAGCTCCGTCTCATGAGCAGCTTCCAGCCCTGATTTGAAACCCTGCACTGGCCTCCGCGTCCCGTGGGCCTCCAGCACGAGCCCAGTGCCGCCGAGCACGACGGTCGCCCTCCAGTCCCACATGGACCTTGTCCAGGCTGCCAGCAGGTGTTAATGATTAACGAGGTCTTAATGAGTAACGAGGCTGTGGAGCGCCTGGAACAGAAAGGGAAAAAGGGCACCGCAGCTACGTGTGAGCGCGCAGAAAGGCTGCGAGGAGAGGGTTGTTCTGGGGAATTGGGAGCGCGTTTCCCGCGGGCCGGGCAGGCAGACGCGCCGGGCAGGCGGCTCCGCTGCTCCCTGCGCCTTTCCCGTCATTTCCCGAGTGCGGCAGGTTCTCCGGGAACGCCGCCAGGCTCTGGGGGAGCCTCCGTGCGCTAAGTGCGCTGCTGCGGCCGTGCCCCGAGGGACCGCGGCGGCGCCGCCAGCCCGGCCCGACGCGCATCTTCCTCCTCCTCCTCATCCTGCTCCTGCTCCTCATTCCTCCCGCTCGGATTTCGGGGGTCCCCGTCCCTGGGTCCCCTCGCAGGGGGTCCCCTCGCTGTCCCCGCCCTCAGGACTGGCAGCGGCGGCGGCCCCACCGCGTCCCCCTCCCCCGGGACCCCCCGCCGCCCCGAGGGGGTCCCCCGTGGCGCCACCTGCGCGGGAGGCGTGGCCCCGGGGAGGGGCGTGGCCCGGGGGCGTGGTGTGTCTGGAGGGGGCGTGTCCCGACGGAGGGGCGTGCCCCGCTGGCGGGAGTGTCCCGAGGGGC